CAGAACAAGTTACATCCCCATACCCACTCAGTGAAACTGAACTGCATACTGAGAGCCTAATGATACAGTTCTATATTTATAAGAGTCAGAAGTGCCTTACTTACTCTGAACTAACTATACTAGGTCTGTTTAAAGAGCCCGATAACTTCTTTGTAGATACTTGCAGCCTTCCTTTTACCTGATTTTGTAAAAATATAAACACATGTCATTCATATTTTTACCCTTGAATACAGTCTTATGGTGCAGAGAGATTGTTATATGGCATGCGTGGATTTCTTTGAGACCATGAGAGAAATACAAAATGTTTGGGGGAAGAAACTCACCTTTTTTCTTAGATCCTCATGTGGTGTGTGTTTTGTCTGTGTATTTCTTTATATAGTCCTTGTTTATAATTTAAGTGTAGTCAAGTATTTTGATAAGTTGTACATAACAAGACTTTATCATTGTGCTCCTATTATTTCCTGGAGGTGACCACATTCTCTGTTCAAGAAGATAATGCAGTTTCCGCAGCCTAAGGCTAGTACTACTGTCATTGTATAAAGCAGTATGTTGGGAGAGCCCTGCAGATCATCGCATCCTGAAAGAAGACTAGTCCTGGTCATTTGGACACAGTCCATCTATGCATAAGGCTACTAACCAGTACAAAGGATTTTTCTTCACTAGAGTGGAAACTTGGAGAGACTCCTGGCACGGAGGACTGTTCAGTGTGGGACCATCAAAACAGTTTCTGAGAAATCTGCCGCAGCTGAGTTGTCTTCCCAGATGCTCATTCCAAGATCTGATCAAGAGTATTTTGTTTTACTTATGATTGCTGAGGAATGTCTGCAAATTTCTAGATGTTAAACAAAAATGTCTTTTATGAACAGTAAGACATATGAACACTCCACAAAGATAGCCTTTTAAGTCACAATGTTTATGATTTTCTCAGTAAAACCTGAAAACAAAATTAAATTTTTTTCAGTTGTAAAATGGGTGACTAAGAAAACGGATGCTATTTCTATGCTGAATCAGTGTTAATATGGCTGTGTTGGACAGAAGGTACCAACATTGACTAAAATGTCAGTCACTTCAATATATAGGCCATGAGTTAAGACTGTAAGTACGAACATCCACATTTACAGAAAAATTCTGAGTTTGAACCACAGAGGATTTTTTTTTAAATGCTGTACTAGTAAGAGAAACTGAAACTCTTGGCCCAGCAATTCTGTTGCTCCAAACTTCAAGATGACACTAGGTAGAATAGCAAAAAGACAGTCAGGAGATTCAGGGAAGGTGTCCAGGGTCTGAATCTCACAGTAGATCTTCAGCTCATCTTCATTTAGAGTAGCCTGGAGGTTTCCAGAGCTGCCTCCAGCTGCCTGCACCCCCAAAAGAGAGTACACATGCTGAGCTTATCTGCATCATGCCACTGCTTGGCAGTGACCTTGGTCTTGCCTGCAAGACACTCCCATTTTAAAGCAACACAGTGATCAAAGCCCATGGCCATGCGCTTTCTGAGTCAACTCTTTTCCAGCCTCGTTGCATCACTCAAACACTCTCAACTGATCAGACAACAATGAAGAATGTGTACTCACCTTTTTCTTGTGCTGTGCTGAAATTCCTTGAAGTACTGCAAAGCTTAGTACAAATACACTTGAATGCTAGTAGAAAAGTCTACTATTCCTTTTTGTTCTCTGGAAACAGCAGGACATCGTATATGAAAATCATGATGAAATGTTAAGTAAAGTGAACACTGTTTCTAATTATTGCCATATAGTAATTTTGAAAATTTTGAACAGAAGTTGTTCCCGAACAAAGGTGTGAATGCAAGTACAGCTGTCTCAGGTGTTGTGTTAGGAGCTGGGGTAAGAATCAAGTCTTCTACAAAAACAGACCATAGAACACCCTTTTTTAAAAAAAATAGGTGTGCAGTGCCAAATTATTATGGCTGAGCGTTTTCTTCCTGCTAGCCTTTCACTTGTTTTTTTGGTGTACAATACTGAAAGCTACACGTGGTGGAATTGTTTGTCATAGTCTGTGAACTGTAAAGAGAACATTTGCTGTCACTTCCTTTTTTTTAAAAGCATATATGAAATAACATGCAAATTTTTAAAGCAACTGGCGTTAAACTGTATTTCTCTCCCTCTTATTAAGGCATAATGAGATATAAAAAAACCCTGGAAATTTCAAAAACTCTAATTTGTAGAAGTTTATCTGGTTTAGGACTTCATCATCTGGGGGTGAACAAAAAAAAAAACAAAACAACTTGATCATGTGCTTATACTAAAAAACCCGATTAGTGGATCAGTCCTGGCTGGGAATAATTATAGAGTGCTACCTTAGAGGTAACACAGAGGTCAGAAACAATGTTGTGAGGCTGTCAAAGCTGCGTGGCTGATAATTATTTTTTCATTCTTAGCTTAGATGGGGTGTTAACACTTGAAAAGCTGTTAACCTCAACAAAATTTTCTGCCACATAGTGCAACAGCAGAAGTGTGGGCCAAATTTACAGCTTCAGTCCTGTTTATTAAAAAGCTTTCCTATGGCTGTTCTGCCCTTCAGAAGTGCGGGAACCAAGCAGGCGTGCTTGTTTGATGGGTACTTTGTCACCAGTTAGAAACCCTTTTATTTCCCTTAAGCTATCAAGGCTGGCCTGACAGCTCTGGGATCTAAGAACTGGCAAGAGGTGCCGAGTCCAGCAAGTCTTTAGCCTGGCTTCGGCCATCAGAAGTTTACTGAGTCTGAGTGGTCAGTGGGGTCCCCACGGGAGCCACAGACTGTTGAAGTGTGGGAGTCGGAAACAGCAGACCTAAGGGTGGTGGGACTTCTTTGTGGGTGATGGATTCTGGTTTCTAATGTGATTTGAGATGTACTGGGAAGGTGGATAGTAGATGAAGATCCCTGAATGTAAGGTGCTGTTGGTAATATATATTATCGCTAAATGGATAACAAGAAAAATAAGTTTTAAAATAAATAACAAACTAAGCATTTTATTACTTTTACCTAAATATGGTATCCCTTAAGTTTATTTTGTTGCTTTCATACTTCTTGGAAAAACCTTACCCTCTTGTTCTCTGAAGTATTAGAAGGGATGATGCTTACTTGTGAAGAAAAACACAAGTTTCCCACTATCTGATTTTCAAGAACTACTGAAGGGCAGGCTACAGGCTAGCAAGAAAATAACATCATGCAGATGCGTTTTACCTCACTTCATTATGCATTTTATCCTCAGTGAAATCATTGTATAAGGTCATCCGATAACTATGCGTATGTTAACCGCATCTCCGCTTCATCAAAAGCATTTAACACAGCACACTTACAAACATACCATAAGCAGAGTTATTTGCAATACTGACCTTGATGAAGCCTACGCTGTGAGGGCAGTAAACCAGTCACGTTTAAGAGTGAGAGAGCTGTGACGTCTGCTGTGTTGCAGAATGTCACAGATTCTCTTTTGATGGATAAACAGGCTGGAAAATCCTGACTTGATTTGCCAGGGGAATTCTTTTGGATCAGATAGCGTTTACAGTACCGTCTGAAAGACAGCGTTTACAATTCAGTGGGGATGGTTTTCGTTGAGTATGGGTTAGTGTTGTGTTTGCTGAAGTGGTAGGTTAATAATGATACAGGCAGGCACTGCAAAGTTTTCTTTAAACATTTCTGCCAATTAATCTCAATCCAAACTACTTCTCGCATTGCCTTTTTCCAGAGGTGAAAGGACATCATTCAAAATTGTGGAGTGTTTTTGCAGTAGCCACAAGTATGCAGAGTTTAACAGCTGCGAAGAAACCTGAAGTTTTTGAGCACGTACACTGAAAGTCAGGAGATACGAATCTGCTATCCTAGATACTGAACAGTAATGCACTGAGCTATCTGGCAGTAGTCCATGCTGGGGTGTTTTATTTAAAAAGGAGTTTTGGTTAATTTTTTTGCCTGGTTTTTTTGTGTGTCTGACATTTTGAAAATAAGTTGAATTTGATGTGAGACAAGTTAAGGAAGATGTTTGAGATGGGAGTAACAAGCCCGCTGAGCCAGCATTTCTTTGCCTTGGAGTTATGTTTGTGTGTAGCAAACTTCTGATCCAGAAGCAGGCATGCCAGGAGTTTCAAAACTTGGTGTTTCAGACACACAGCTTGCAAGACATCATGCCCGGGCTCTGCTCTGAGTTCAGTGTGGAGAAGCATTCTCCGCTTCTGACCTGCATCAGAAAAAAAAATAGCCGGGCTTTGTAGGTGAGGCTCGCACCCTAGATGCAGGATTATTTTTCTGAAATTATTTTTGTACCAGCCGGCCTCCTGCTGCCGGTGAGCTGCTGAAGAAGGGAGCGTCTCCCCCTCTTCAGTCAAACTTATGCAGGTTTTGGGACAGCAAGCTCCAACGCGGCATACAAAAATTTTGGTTAAACCACAACTTTCCGTACCGTTACTGGGTCCATTTCCCGCACTGCGTTGCCGGGTCCAGTTCCAAAACTTTCATCGGCCCTTTTTTTTCCCTGCCCTTCCAGCCAACATGCCTTGCTTTGCGCACGGGGGCCGATGGGGCCTTCGGCGGGTCACCGGTCACCCGAGCGCGTCCATCTCCCCCCTGCTCCATGACCATTAATTCTCATGGTACCCCTGCGGGTAGCTGAGGGACGAGGGGGGGACGGGGAGGGGGGGGATCCGCGCCGGGTTTTGCGGGGCTCCCGCCCC